TCGACGAGAAGATCGCGTCTCAAGAGAATCGGACAACCGGCGAAATGGAAACACGTATGATTGGAACCAACCAATTAGAATCTAATCGCGGATTCCCGGCTCCCCAAAATGATGGCTATGGATGGAACCTTACAATTCAAAACGGGAATTAGATTCGATATTACTAAAATCGTGTGGTTTAGACGAGTACCTAGAAGTTACCACCGTCAAACAGTTCCTACCACTTGCCTCGAGTGGAATGTGAGGGAGGAGAAAAATTACAACAAGCACAATAGGTGTTTAGAATTCCGTCCTACAAATTTCCCATTTTGACCGTTTCTAGGTCCTTTCTTCATTCCCTGCATTCCTGACATCCGAAGACACAGTGATGTCATTGAATATTCAAATGTATGGGAACTGTTCCCACTAAACACACTTTCAGAATACGCCAGTTGTCAAATCATTTATTGATGAACATTCCTTTGTGAAATACGTCAAATAGCTTTGATCCCATTGTTCTACCATTTCAATAGAGGAATGTTCACCGTTTCCCCGGCTACCAAAGAGAAAACCGCTTCTAACCGTCAAGTGCAGAAACATTACTGCGACACAGCATTGTATGAGAGATACGCCAATGATAAATTGGTCAACGTGCACGTTGTTAAACAATTTATCATAACGCATCCATCGTTCCACTATTATCGGTTGAACAAAAGCTTACGGAAGCCCTTTTTCTGCTGTTTCTTGTGTGGTAAGTGTGACTTCTACTTATCTAACTGGTTGCAGAACAGTCACTGCTTTGTTTAGCTTTTTTCTTTTACTAGCCTTACTCATCTTGAAGATAACGCACACTTTCCAGACAGGCCACCACAGAAATGAATCATATCAGTTACACTTGGAATTCCCAAGTCAAGAGCTCGCCACCACCCTCCTGGAGAACTGGCGACAATTCCCTATCGAGTTCGTCCCTACATTATAACAGTACGTCTGATTTCCTGATTTCTAGCCCTCAAGCTACAAACCAGGAATACTTTGTGAAAATCTCGGCAGACGAAGAAAATAAACCTAATTCGTATCAAATAGGCAAAATTGCACATTGGTTTATCCCAACCTAATACAGATCAGTCTGCTAGCGAGCGGGTCGTATTTGTGATTTGTTGATGGAGAGGGGGTCGTTTTTGATGCTTTCAGAGGAATGGTGGAAGAGGTGTGATGGAAAGCCCATTTCAGAGGGTCGTAAAACTTTTCAGATCGCCACAATGTGACGGTTGACCCCAATGTGAGATCAAAGAGTACGCTAATCTTCATGAAAAGATACCTTTGAAGGATATAGATTGGAGAACAAAAAAAGGAAATATGTGTACCTGTTAGAGAGGGGGCAGGCCTTTATGGGTGCGGGACGATGCAAGCTTTGCAGCAGGGTACGCCCTTAGCGGCCTCATAGGACCTTGGCACGGCCTCACAGAGTCGCTCCCATGAGGAAATCAACGAGAAAAACGGCGGTACCACACATCGGGTTCTAGGGCGTTTTTCTCTCTTTTCTTCATCCCTGCATCCCGGGTCACCTCTACCTTCATTTCTAATGGGCTGCCTTTCATCGCTAAACCCACCTTTACGCGCCAACCTTCCAAAAAAAAAAACTATGAACATGCGTTTCAGTATTTGAACTGATCGGGATCGATGCAAGGATAAGATTCTGCATTCAGTTTTACAACATGAACTCACCTTGATCCGCCATTTCCACTAGCCCACACAAAAATGTTCCCTCTTCCTCCACGTCCATTTTTAATTCCTCTGTAGAACGCTTCCCTTGCCAGAGGCCCTGGCCCATCGAATGTTTTACCATCATCCTCCGGGCCCCAGCTTGCTGAGTAAATATCGATGTGGTCCTAAATGTTTCGCTAAATCATACAATACACGTCATAAATTACATAAAAACCCTTCACTGCTACTGAAAGTTCCGCATCGGACTAAGGATTAATACTTTTAAGAACTCCAAAATCTTACCTGATTCAGTGATAACGATGCTGCTTCAACACTATCAGATACAGCTCCATCAAGCATACGGACCTAGAATGCACGTAGATGTGTATACATCTAAAAAATAAGGCACCGAATTTTAAAGGATTCCCGTACCCCTCCTATTTTCGCTTTGAACGCAACACCAACTCCGCAATAGTTGTTCCCAGCAATAGCAGCAACTTCACCTGCACATCGTGTACCGTGTCTGCAAATCAATCACGTTTGAAGAAAAACAGAGCTTTATCGTCAGAACAACTGCCGTCCAGGATATTCCGTAAACCATCGACCACAAGAAAAAAAAAGACCGAGAACGGCTACCAAAGGTTGAAAAAGAGTCAACAAACAAAAAAATAATTATTGATTGTTCTTTTTCAACTCCAAGCTTACTTGTTGTCGCCATTGTTTTGCGGCGTAGGATCATCGTCGTGGTCATTAATGTCGGTACTTGCCAAGGGATCGTAATTGGTCACCAAATCTGGATGATCCCTGAAAATCTCGGCTAATCGTTCTATATGATGAGAGTTGGAGAACATGTAGCAAAGAATGAATCAATAATAAAAGCCACTCGCCTCTGAATTCCGTCATCAAGTATTGATACAGACACGTTGCGTCCGGCATAGCCAAGAAGCCACGCCTCTCGCACATTCATATCATAGTTGCCCACAGCTTTACCCACCTGAACTCAACCTGTCGTATCGATTGTCTATCAAAAAAGATTCAAAATGATGATGATGATTTAAAATGTATAACTAACCAAGTACCACTGATCCTGATAAAGAGGGTCTGGGAATGGTAAATGCGGAATCTCACGAACTGCCTGACGCCGCCGCTTGGGAGAACCTCTACTGGGAGACACGCTTCTCGAATTCGAAGAGTTTCGTTTTGACAGCCGCTTTCCTTCTCCCTAAAAAAACCTCAGCATTCCGGAATCTCAAAACAGCCCCTGTTGCATGACCTTGTAAACTATTACAAATTTCATGAAATACCTCAACAACTTGGAAATCATTATGCAGATAGTCTCGTTTTGTACGCCGCCGAGCCCTTTGTTCCGAAAGCCATTCGACGGCAGGATGCGCTTCTAATCGCTCCACTGCCGATCGCTTCCTTCGACGAGAATGTGACTCATCATTGTGATACAGGAAATAGTGACTATCAAGGAAGGGCTCACCCTGAAAAAAAAAACTAGAAAAATAACGTGGAAATGTAAGACGGTTCACCTTCGACACGTCGTTCAAAACAAACAGTGTTTTCTCTCCAAAGAAAAAGGCAATGATTAGTTATCTCTCGGACAGAACTGTGCACAATTGTGTCATATTTTCGCCTATTCAGCCACTCGGTGAGAAAAACCATGTTTTCCCTCTGTTTAATCGCATAACCGGTATAACCTTACAAAAACAGTCCATCTAGCAGTACAGTTCCGTGGTATGTGATACTGATGTTGCTGTCTCGGAATCAAATGCATATCTATTGTGCACACAAAAAGAGAGACAATGATGAGATTTTCCCACCGTATATATTCGCTAGGAAGAAA